AAGTGACCATTTAATCTTTAAATCAGCTGTTTCATTTAAAAGGACTGATTCATTGTCGTCAGAAACTAAATGTCTAACATGAACGTAGCCAACTTATATTATACTTATATTAACTTATTTATTCAACTGCAGAATAAAATCAGTTTCAATAGGCTACTTCACACATTTGCAATAGGCTACTGCTGTTATTTGGGGAAAAAGTACTCTGTGTGTAACATTTCTTAACTATATGAAATGATAGCCTATGTAAAGGACAAAAACTCATACAGGGACATAGTTGTTAGTTGCTACTTGATCATGGATATCGCATATTGTTTAACATTTGAGCACCCTCACTATTTTCAAAAGCACCCTCAGTGATTTGGTTCTAGAACCGGGCCTGCTCCGCAGCGGCTGCGATCCGCCATCCAGTCTTCGATGTCGTTCCACGTTGATTCAATGTCAGTTTGCTATCTGGGTCTGTTTTGACTAAGTTACTACCGTCAATGTTTACTCAAACTATAATCTCACTACTTCTGTAACGTTAATCATTTGAATATGTGTAACATAAATATTGATTATTAACACTAACAAGGCTCAAAATAGCCCCACACTAACACAATAGCATAATAAGGGTCCCTACATACAAACCGAAGCATTGAGAACTTTGTCAGTGTCCAAACAGTTTAATAAGAAGATATTTTATACACACAGTCAACTTCGGGAATACAGGAAGAAGCCATCTTTGAAAAATAGTCTCTACCAGTCGATCTACGAACGCCAATCCAAGTGCGCTGAACTGTGCAGAATCTCATATGGTCCATTGTTTCCGAAAGAAACACAAACACGAACCGTTTTCTTCTCTTCAATATGTACACGTAGCCTACTGTTCGCGCTCACCTCATCACCTTATTCACATCTCACCAGCGCACATGGATCGGTGTTCGTAGATCGACTGGTAGAGATTTTTCAAAGATGGCTTCTTCCTGTATTCGCAAAGTTGATTGTGTGTATAAAATATCTTCTTATTAAACTGTTTGGACACTGACAAAGTTCTCAATGCTTCGGTTTGAATGTAGGGACCCTTATTATGCTACTGTGTTAAGGGGGTCGCACACCGGGCGTGCAGCGCCGCGTCGCGCAGCGCCATGTCTTCAAAATTCGAACACATTATTCTCGATGAGTGTACACACACCGGCGGCGCCATTCGGCGTCTGTCCGCGCCGCCCAGCAACGGCTCAGGACTGTGTTCAAAACCCTGCCGCGCCACAGAGCGCCATTTGCATAGTTTTATATTAAAATTGCATTTATTTGTCTCAAATCGTCGTTAATGTACATACTGACTTCACCCTGTGCTGCAATATACATTTAAGCCTATTTAACATTCCTAATTTTCCTAATTCCTAACAACTTGAATAGTCATATTGGGAAAAAAATGTAAAACAAACATAGCCTTTTTAAATCCAATTTTAAGTACCAGTCTAAACCCATCAGTGCGAAATATTAATGCATAGGCGATGTAATGTTTGCCTCGCGTGGTTATTCACGGTCGTGTAGAGCCACCTATTGGATTTACCAGGTCACAACACACTTCAGGTAATTTCTGTAGCGTAGCAGCGGAGCGAAATGGACGAAGAAAAACTCATCAATGAAGTAGGGAGTAATCAATGAAGTAGTTGCCTAGACAACGGATAACGTTGCAACAAAATAACAGACTTAACAAGGTGATAGACACGTTTACTTGGCTAATAACGTTCAAACATCAGCTATTTTATTCACTTAACATATAAAATATATATATACATCCAGTTTAAACTCACCCATCTTGCAGCTCTTGACTTCTACCAGGAGTTGATTCAAAACTGAGCTCGTGCGAATAGAATGTGCGCGTCCGGTGTGCGATACCTGTGAATGGTTCTAGACGTGGCGCGACGCGGCGCTGCGCGCCCGGTGTGCGACCCCCTTTTCTGTGGGGCTATTTTGAGCCTTGTTAGTGGTAATAACAAGCGATTTGTATTTGTCATTAGTCTATGCCCTATATACTAGCGTTATACTAGCATTATAGGCTAAACTGTTTTTAGAGATAAAACTATTTACATTCGGCAATCATCAAAACAAATCTCAGATAACGGTTGACTAGGTAACAATGTGTAATTAGACTAAAGGTTCGTTTTGCGCCGGAGTTGTCCTTTAAATCATCCACGATCAAAAATCGTGATATCGCATAAACACAAGTATAAAACGACTGTTATTGTGTCTGATTACAAACACAAGTAACGCAGTTCACAAAACTGTATTGCACGCGTGTGGTACATTTAATCACACATCAATCTTTTCGTAGATATATGTCGCACTGTACAGCCCTGTACAGGACCCTTTTTAATGAACGTTTGTTGTAGGTCTAGGCATGGAGATATCTGAACATCCTTGCCAAGCGCAAGCCAGTTGTCATGATGTGGGTGTGTCCTGTCATATTCTATAGTTCCCTGTCTTGTCTATTTATTATCCAAGGTGTTTCTTATTTCTCACGACCTACAACGTTTGTTGTAGGTCTAGGCATAGAGATATCTGAACATCTTTGCCAAGCGCAAACCAGTTGTCATGATGTGGGTGTGTTGTCCTGTCATATTCTATAGTTCCCTGTCTTGTCTATTTATTATCCAAGGTGTTTCTTATTTCTCACGCCCCCTTGTTATCTTGTCTAGCTCGCTTGTCCCTGATTATTTAAATTGAATTGAAAAACTTCAACCGCACACCGTTTCACCAGTACCGAAGTAACCAATAAATTATCGGGGAGGGTCATGCCTTTTCTCACAATTATTTTGCAGGGTCATAGAAAAATGTATTGTTGGCGAAGGGAGTCTGTTTTGGTTATAGTCTGTTTTGACTATAGCCCCTTAAAAGTGCAATGTGCAAAATTTTTGAGTATCTATTAACAGAAATGCAATTTGACATTCATAACTATGTTTTCAGTGGTGTACAAAGAACTTAAACCATAATGTTTTTGTTACCTTACAATGAGACATTTATACCTACATAACCGTAGACAGCGTCTTCTATGAAGGTCGACATATTGTGACGTCATGTTTCTACCGTAGCCAATAGCGAACAGACATCACTACAGAGCGTGTTTCATCACTACCTTGAAAGAGAAGCAGTAGAAAGCTAATAGCCAGCCACAAACACCGTGAGTAGTGACCTTTCCCTTGTCAGTGGTGCAAAATATGTAGTTGGATTGTTTCATGTAACTAGATCTTCTCCCTCGCTGTGTTATGGCTTAATGTGGGGATAAATGTGCTGATTACATTTGTGAGACAGCTGATTAGTACTCATGTCATTGACCGTAAAACAATATGTTCCAGGAATCACCAAATCGTCGATCGCAAGTCGATCTTGGAAGCATTTTAAGTTGATCGTGAAGAGTTTTCAAAATCAGACAAAAAAGCCTATTGTGTAGTAAATGGTGTCTAGGGGATGCAGAGGGCTCATGTGGACGCGCATGAGTTTAAACAAGGCTTTACGTTTTAACCAGCTCCGCCACAATAACAGCTCATATATAGACCTTATGTAGCCCTGCCCCTTTTCAGCGTTGCGCTCGTTGTCTTTTGACTTCCGGCCTGTATTTACACAGCGATATTGCATAGGTATGAATGAACTGCTCGCAAAAAAATTCCCATTCGACATTTGTTAAGACATCTGCTTTAGAATGCTTATGATAAACATTACAATGCTCATGATCAATTTTGTTAACTCTACAATAAGTAAATCCACTTCACCAGCTAATTACTCCTCGACAGCAATGCCATAGAAATATACAGAACCGGAAGTTCAAAGACAATATTTTACAGATGTTGGCGCCCACGTTTCTCTGCTGCATAAGGTCTATAGTCAGCTCAACTGTTACTACCCTGTTAGAAAAAATATATAGTTGCATAATTTCATGTGGTTCTTCTCCCTAGCTCTATGGATTTGCTATGTGGGGAGAAATGTGCTGGTTACGTTTGTGAGACAATCAGCTGATTACTATTATTATGTTATATATTAAGACCCTTGATCCTCACCTGACTATGGCTTTGTAAACTTTATCCATCATGTGGTTTATAATGGACTGTGGTACAGAAACAGTGACAACGTTACACACTCGTGGCTTACTCTGGCTATTCTCTGCTGTCTCAGACGATATGTTTGTCCTGTTTAAGCCACCGTAGTTTCTTTGAAAGGGAGGGGTGAGCAGTGGGTTGAGCCTTTATTGCAACTCGCAACAGAACCGCTAAATGTCGGTAGAAAATACACACTGCACCTTTAAATAAAAACTAACAGTCCCAAATTTCTTTTTTTCAAAGTTCTCACTTCACAAAGTTTTCACTTCACATCCCCTTCCTGAAAAACGTAACATTTCATTAAGCATTCCAATTTATTTATTTATTTATTTTCATAAAAATAACAGCTAGGTGGCAGGTGCATCTGAAGGCTAGCTATAGCATGTTAGCTGAGCACACCATCAATACATGAGAATTTATTAAATTAAAACCATGTTTTTGCTCCAAACTTACTGTATAACGCAAGTCGAGTGTTTTAAATAACCTTCTATGATCTGATTTGAAAGACAGAAAATATATTATTTTATAGTATTCCACAATGATAAAGTCTGTATTGATTAGCTTTACATTATAAATATAATTTATTATTATGAAAATACCTGACATGGCTCGAAGAACATATATCATTATCTGCATGTTACAGCGATCTCTTTTTTTTATGTCAGGGAGTTCCTGGAATTCAGTCAGAATGTTGTGCAACCCCACTGCATAATTATCCTACTTATTATGTGGCTACTTGACAAATAAGTAAATAATTGAACACAGAATACTAATTTGACACACTTGACTACATCAAAATGACCCACAGTACTCGACTGAGCGGTCTGTTACCAGTTGAAGCTGTTGTTCAGATCGCACATGACATGTTGTCCATGACATGTTTTTGCTTTTGAACAATTTATGCTGTAATTTTATGCTTACCTTAAGAATCAAACAGCAGATACCACCAGTGATGCACAGTAGCATGACAGCACACAAAATGAAGATCTTCAGATGATCTTCATCTTCTGGGCAGTCTTTTTCTTTTCCTTTTTCCTTTCCTTTTTCTTTTTCCTTTTCCTTTTCCTTTTCTTTCAATGACAGAATAAAAAAAAACAGGGTCAGAGAATTATAGAATTATAATATGCATTTTTTTCTCATTAAATATTAACCAGAAAGTGATTGTACTTCTAAATCTCAACCTCCCATCCTTTTCCCATTCTACATTTTCCTATTCACGCCATTTAACACATGTGGTACATTCATTTAATAAACTCATCATGTCTTAGAATACAATTATAATTTACATGAAATATAAGAGACACTTACCTATCCATAACCAGGTGAACTTGCCAACAGTTGGTTTGTCTTCCAAATTAAATTTACACCAGTAAAGCCCAGTGTCTTCGACAGTTACATTTAAGAGGGTGACAATAAGGTTGGGAAATGGTCCAATGACACTGACTTTGAATTCGTTTGCCTTTTTATAGGTAAGATTGATTCCTTTGTAAAAGTAGAATAATTCCTGCGCTTTACTTGCTCCTTCTTGTTTATACATGTACACTCCATCTTGAGGTAGTTTATCAGTAGCACACTCGATGGTGACATTATGCCCAGAAGATTTGATTACTGTTTGAAACAAAAAAGAAACTTTTAAGACTTTTTTCCCCCTTTCTGCTTACACTTAAATACACAAATGAATTTGCAAAGCTGTGTGTGAATTGTGTGTTCTTGGTATTTTCTTTATGTTTCTACACAATGTATTCTACCTCACGGTCTGACATAGCAATATGATCCAAAGTAACATTTTTAATCAGAGATGTATAAAGTACTAGAAACCTGGACTTGAGTAAAAGTACAAGTGCTCTATCAAAAAAGTAACTTGAGTAGAAGTTAAAGTGCTCTTTAAGCACGACACTTGAGTAGAAGCACTAAAGCATTCAAAAATGATTGTATAAGTATTGCAAGTAGTTTATTTTAAAATTCACTACTCAAGTACTAAAAGTAAAAGTACAAGTACAGTATTGTGTCATGTAGTTTGAACATCATATTGTTTTTAATTTCAAATGATAAACCTAGAGGACACTCACAATTCCTTTGGCTGTAGCAGCAGTAAGTACAGGAATGTACAAGAAAGAAAACCAATGCTGAGCTTGACGTTAACTAACTAACCATGATCAATACATTACTATTAATCTTTAATAATGTTTGTTAATAAAAATGCAGCTGTTCATTGTTTGTTCATGGGTAACACTTTAAATAATGGTCAGTAGTTAACAAGTAGCTATGCATGAAGTAATAGGTAGTACTGCATTAACACCGAAGTTAATACTATTAACTAATATGGAAGCAATATTAACTAATCATTAAGTAATAGGTAATTTAGTACAAAGGTAGTTCCTTGGTAGGTATTTGATTGTTACTAAAGAAATATATCCTCATTGAGAACTACTTGTGAACTAAGAAATAATAACCAATTAATTACTAATCACAAAAGTAACATGTCTAAAAAGTGAACAATTGTGGGGGTTTTACTCTTAACATGGTCATAACATTTCAGAAGCATGCGCCTCAAATGGTTTCTTTGTGGAAACCAGTTTATGAAGTTTATACATCCCCCCAAATACATTAGCTAGGTTGAGATTGTGACCACTACTCTTGCCAGGATGGACGCATGTTCTCTGTTTATTTAAAACTTAAACATAAAATAATCCTAATAAAGACAGTTTTTAAAAATAAATCTTAAATAATTAGGAAGTGATGCTGACACTCTCATGATTGGATTAGTTCACTATTATGAGCTCTATTGAATGTCACTCGCATATATCTCAGACTCCAAAGACCTATAACTTTATGTTACAGTAGCTGCCTGAGGAGGACTTCTCTTTAGGACATGAATATAAACATTGATGTTCACTTGTCAAAAACAATTAGCATCTTTAATGAAGAAATTGGCTGCATTTATGTTACGATAAGCGCAAAATCACATCTTCCAGATTGTTAGACAGTTTGTTAGAACATTAGTGCCTCACAGAACCTGTACAGTATGTGTCAAATATAAAATTAAATTACTTGTATCATTTGTGAAAAACAGGTTAACTCCTCACTAACTACTTAAGCGTTACCTTGTCATCCCGCAGGAACTACTAGTGATGTGGCCCATTATTTTAAAGTAAAAAACATGTTAACTCCTAACTAACTACAAGTGTTACCTTGTCATCCCGCAATGTTTACACAAAGTAACGCTTGTAGTTAGTTAGGAGTTAACATGTTTTTCACTTTAAAATAATGGGCCACATCACTAGTAGTTCCTGCGGGATGACAAGGTAACTATTAAGTAGTTATTGAGGAGTTAACATGTTTTTCACAAATGATACAAGTAATTTAATTTTATTTTTGACACATACTGTACAGGTTCTGTGAGGCACTAATATTCTAACAAACACTGTAATCTGGAAGATGTGGTTTTGGGCTTATCGTAACATAAATGCAGCCAATTTCTTCATTAAAGATGCTAATTGTTTTTGACAAGTGAACATCAATGTTTATATTCATGTCCTAAAGAGAAGTCCTCCTCAGGCAGCTACTGTAACATAAAGTTATAGGTCTTTGGAGTCTGAGATATATGTGACTGACATTCAATAGAGCTCATAATAGTGAACTAATCCAATCATGAGAGTGTGAGCATCATTTCCTAATTATTTAAGGTTTATTTTTTAAAAACTGTCATTATTAGTATTATTTTATGTTTAAGTTTTAAATAAACAGAGAACATGCGTCCATCCTGGCAAGAGTAGTGGACACAATCTCAACCTAGCTAATGTATTTGGGGGGATGTATAAACTTCATAAACTGGTTTCCACAAAGAACCCATTTGAGGCACATGCTTCTGAAATGTTATGACCATGTTAAGAGTATAAAACCCCCACAATTGTTCACTTTTTAGACATTTTACTTTTGTCATTAGTAATTAATTGGTTATTATTTCTTAGTTCACAAGTAGTTCTCAATGAGGATATATTTCTTTAGTAATACTCAAATACCTACCAAGGAACTACCTTTGTACTAAATTACCTATTACTTAATGCTTAGTTAATATTGCTTCCATATTAGTTAATAGTATGAAGTTCGGTGTTAATGCAGTACTACCTATTACTTCCTGCATAGCTACTTGTTAACTACGGACCATTATTTTAAAGTGTTACCTGTTCATTCTTAACAGTGCATTAACTATGTTAACAAATAGAGCAATTTGAGAGTTAGGCATTGTTTTAAAACGGTGAGTGTGCACGCTGGCCGGGTCTCTCTCTCTCTCTTTCTCTCTTTGCGCCGTCAAGCACAACAGTCGTTCATTCTATTCTACATCGCTCACCAGTCACTAGCATCAAATAAGGCGCTTCTGCGGGATAAAAATTTGCTTTGGCGGCCACCCAAAAAAAAAAAAAAAAATGTCATTGCACGAAAACCCCTGCATTAGTTGTCAATGTCTGTGTCAATCAATACCATTAGCCTACCCTAAAAAAAACGGGCGTGCGATTTAAGCAGCACGAAAGCCAAATTCATCAAACCGGGGGTAACCGAGAATGCGGGTTTGGAATGATTTGTAACATTTTTATAGCTAATTGTAACGAGTAGCAGAACATAAAAAAATGAAGTAAAAGTATTAAACTCATCGAAAATATCTACTGAAATAAAAGTGGAAGTATAAGAAAAAAAAAAACAATACTCTAGTAGAGTACAGATACAGCCTTTTAGCTACTTAAGGACAGTAGTTCAACTTTGTTACTATACATCTCTGTTTTTAATTGGATAACAAAATGGGTAACACTATACAAAGGTTAATGTATTAACTAGCATAAACTAACCATGAGCAATACATTTATTACTGTATTTTAAAAACGTTATACAGCTGTACAGTGTTTGTTCATGTTACTTAACAGTGCATTAATAAATGTTAACAAATACAACCAAATGTACTTACCAATATCAAAATCTATCTCCACTGTGGTTGCCCATGATGACATGCTTCTTATACAAACATTGATCAAAAGAAAACAGTATCTCAAGACGTACACCATCTTCGCAGCTCTTTCTGACTGACTAGTTTTTGTTCATCATGACAACATCATGTAGTGGTCACGCACAGCTCATCAGAGACTTTTTTTTTGTAAAGGAAGCTGAGGAGAAAGGGGCTCTGCATAGTAAATATTGTAGCCAATGTCATCCTAGATCCTGAGAGAAATATATATATATATATATATATATATATATATATATATATACTGGTGAAATGCTGGAAACTTGTAATAGCTCTCCACAGAAATGTTAAGTGAATGGGTGAAAGGAAGTGAACCTAGTGCACACTGCTTTGCAGAAATGCAAAAGCAATGCTTTACACTCAATGCACATACAGAGCTGGAGTTTGTGAGCAACAACCTTTACTGTGAACCGAGGAGCTTTTTTTCACTCTGCATTAAATTTCATTATTTGCTTTTCATCAACTTACAAACCTGCTTTCTCACAACCCCCCCATTTGAGAAATCCCCATCTAGTAAGTCACATTTATTATATATATATGTGTGTGTGTGTGTGTGTGTGTGTGTGTAGCCAGTCAAAAATATTTGTCCAAAATAAGGATCGGTATTTTGTTTTTGTCAAAATGAACAAGAAATCATCTTATTAATAACAAAACATTATATACTAATATGTAATAAATAATAACATTCATACATATGCTTACTCTAAAGCAGGAGTTCTCAACTCTGGCCCTCGAGATTTACTTTCTTACAGAGTTTAGCTCCAACATTAACCAAAATCCCCTGCCTGTAATATTATAGGCTATGTTCGAAATCGCCACCTATCCTATTCACTATTCCCATTAATATAGTCCACTTGAAGGAAAGGACATGAAGAAAACAAGTCAGCAAATTTGGACACTGAAAATATTGATCTTGAGCTCTTCAGAAAATATTGAACTCTGTCATGGAAATAGTTTGTAAATACTTTAATTAAACAATTTAATAATAAACTGTAGCCTCATTGGTACACTGGTATGGGAATTGGATGGATGGATGATTCAGCTGTGGGTGCCATCTTCTGGCGAGAGTATACCCATAATGTATGTATTCACTTTAGCAGTGTGATCTTGCATACTGTCTCATAATCTTTTACTGCACTGTAATATTTAGATCTACACAATTTTTGCAGTTCAACTTCACTATCTTCCCGGACCGGACCGGTACTTTAGTCCCCGGTGTAAACGCAGTAATCAAGCGATTTGGGGCAAAAAAAAAATTCCTATGGAAAAAGTTCCTGGGACAAAATAGTTCCTAATTGCGGTGGAAACGTGGTTTTACTCACATTAGGCTACAACTGCCCCACTTGTACCACCAACATGCATTTCATACATTTTTAGAAGTGTAATGGGCTCTATGCACGGCGGTATTTCCGGTGAAGCATTAGGGATGCTCGATAACTTACGCCGATCGTAGAGTCCAATGCAATACCGATAATTTATATTGAATTTTATACTCCATGGTTATACTAAAGAAACGTTAGTCACAAAAACAGATAAAACAGACACCCCTCGTTGTGTTTATGCTTCTTTTTAAAATTATATTAAATAAATGTAACTATATATAAAATTACATCTAAACGTATGTACGTTTCATTTCAAAGACTGGAGGACAGTAAATCCTCCGCTTTAATCTCCACAACCGGAAATGGACGAGCATCCTTGCGTCAAATGCGGAATTTATGCGTGCATATAGCCCATTGGGGAAACAATCGCATAATTTATGGTAAAAAGTGCGAGTCGGCTGCTTCTATGATTTTCATGTCTTCAGCGAAGCTACTACGCATCACTGATCTCCGAAGCCGCGTCGCCGTCGATAAGGCATCTAATAGCAAGCCTGGACAGAGTCTGAGGAAGTCGGCCATCTTCGCCACTTTCAGCCATCCTGCGAGCTAACGCCATCCGGCGACGTATCCATTTACATTTGTATTTTGCATGTGAAACTTCACAAAAGAGCAGCGAGTGTCTATTTTAAGATGCCCCGCCATCTTCTGCGCTCTCTGCCTGGGACTGGAACACGCAGAGCTCTCTCTCGCCGACGGCAGATGTAACTGTCACAGGTCGGGGCGGGCCAAACTGACCTGTACCCGCCCCTCGAGACCCGCACCACCCTTGGGGACCCTGACGGAGGACGGAGCAAGGAGGACAGACAGGGAGGGAATCAATTTAAAACCAGTTTTTATTTAAAGTAAGCAGAGTCTTTAAAAGAAGTGCAGGAACTTCGGGCTGGAGGTCTTCGGGCTGAAGGTTTTGATGTAAACAGACAGGTGAGTGTACAGCCACGTACGTCTCTTCACTAGCAGGATCAACAGACACAGCTTACAGCAGAGGAGGCTTTACTGCAGGCAGACAAGCGAGTATGCAGGCACGTCCTTCTCTTCACTGGCGGGGTCAACAGGCACAGAGCGGCAGGAGTTTTCACTGCGAAGCAGACAGGTAAATATACAGGTACGTATCCTCTAGTATACATACACACCATTCCTCGTCTTAGCACATAATCATCTTCTTCTCCCTGGACAGACAGAGAACTTACGGCTGGAGGTCTCCACTGCGAAGCAGTCGGGTGTGAGTATACAGGCACGTATTCTTCTTCACTGCAGGGCCGACAGACACAGAGCTTACAGCGGGGAAACTTCACTGCAAAGCAGACAGGTGAGTATACAAGTACGTACTTCTCTTCAAGTGTCAAACAAAGGGGCTTACGGTTGGAGGTTTCACTGCAAAGCAGACAGGTAACATTTACTACGGGTCTCTCTTCACACTGGGCTGCCAGATAAAAACACTCAATGGTCTGTGGAGTACAACAGTGTTAGCCTCTTCTCATGCAGTCAGTATGTGATAGAAAACTCAGGTAAGACATGGACATCCAGCAGGTTTAGGTTCACACTTCACACAGCAAGCAGTGCATCGCATCACTTCATCTCAGCAATTCAGCATTCAGTGGGAAAATACACAATGTATGGCCATTGCCCATCTTCTAATCTGGCTTCCACATCAAGGTGTCCCACAGACACAAGAGAGGAGGATGGAAATTGATTTGGACTACTCACTTCTCTCACAAACGATCTTCAGCCTCATGATGTTTACCTCTTTCTCCCAACTCACAGCCCCGCGCTCGTCTGTCGGCCCCCCTTCCTTCTCACCATGGCTCACTCTTCCCACGGGACCACTGTTCCCAAAAGCAACGCACTGTTCAGTCTCTACTTCCTCCTTTTATATTCCCTTTATGATGACATGTCCCAATCGCGAGGCTTGTTTTTCCCCCATGCACAGCTGCCAGCGATCTTCTGCGGATTACACTCGTTCGGTGGGATTTTTGCGCTAACCCGGAACAAGCCCGGTGTCCCATTGTTATGGGTCCGGCGGGAGGCAAATCCCTGAGCTTTGGTTCCGCCTGCACTCTTTAAAAAAAAATAAAAAAATGATCACCCCGTGACATAACCTCTGCGAATAGGCTTCCGTTGTTGACCCTGCGTGCTCGACTTGAAGCGTTAAAGCCACCGCCCCCTCTCTCCGACGCGCAACTGCCGCTCACGAGCTGCATTGCAGTCGCGCTGTATGGGGGACGAGCCGCTTACAGTTGTGCCAACCGCTGCTAGCTTTCTTTACGTTACAAGAAAGCTACCCCGCCCCCCGTGCATACGCTTCACTGGAAAATGGGTTAATAGTGTGTTAGTTCTGCCGAGGCCGGACCAGTTCGCTACAATAACACCCTCTTATCTGCTCGCGCTATTAAGCTTGTGTCTTTACCCCTGTGGCTCAGTGGTGAAAGAAAATGCTTTTCTCTCTAACGTTAATCATTCCTCGTTTGAGCGGCCGGGAATTTCTATATTGCAGCAACGATCCTGTCATAACATGCAAATAATGCCGACACACAAAGCTTGACGCTAATCTGTTCTTGACGCTAAAAAGCTTGACGCTACACTGTAAAGTGTAGTAGGTGCCCACACCCCTGTGCTCACCCGTACAAAAACACAGCATTCACGTGTCTCACAGAGCCCACTCTTATAGCTGGCTAAGCCGCTAGGGTGTTATCTGTAGCAGATGTGCCCACGTCTGTGCTCACATCTTCTATCTGCCCGCTCTATTACATGGCCAGGTTGTGCACATCACAAGTGCAGCCTTTTCAGGCTATAAATAGTCACGTGCCTGCTTGCAGCGCTCACGTTTTCTAACACGCACTTGCAAGCGGGGCCGCGCACGTCACTAGTGCAGCCTCGTATCAGGCTATAAATGCAATCAGGCATATAAGTCTCGTGCCAGCTCGCAGAGCTCGATCCTTATTAACAAGCACTTCTCACACGGCGCCGCCTCTTCTAGGCTATAAATAGGTCGTGCCCGCTTGCAAGCGCTCACACCTACTGACATGCATTTCACACACAGTGCCCCCTGTCAGTCCCCTTCTCTCAGGCCACTGAGAAATTAGAAGCCTTCGAGCCGGGAGCACTACCCTCTCGCCTGCACACAAACCCAGAGAAAGCTCATAAGTGCATAATGTCTGATTCACGCCAAACATGCTATAAGTGTAGTCTATGTGCCCACAGTTCAGTGTTCACCCCTACACACAAGTACCACACTCCCCATGCCTCTGTAAGAGCCCACTCCCTTAAAGCGGGCACAGTTCGTTTGAGTGTCAGAGTTCATAAACACGCCCACGAGCCCGTGTGCGTGCCCCCTCTCTGCCCGCTCTGTTACACGGCCAGGAAAACTCCTCTCTGCATGTAGTCCTGTGCCCGCGACCCTGCTTGCTCATCACTCTCATGTGACTCTCTCCCCATTCACTTCATTCGGGAAGTCACTCACAGAACAGCCAACACTTCAGAGCGTGGGACGCTATTCCGGGGATTTCTCCGTGGGTGTTAAGGACAATAAAGATAGGCTATCTGTTACAGTTCCGTCGCCGCCCTCCCCGCTTCCGAGTGCGGCTCGAAACTACTGTGAATACGGCAGCAGCTAGTCTGCTCCGTTCAGAAATAGCAAAACTTTTGTGCAAAAGGGCCATAGAGAGAGTTCCGCCTTCTCTGAGCGAGTTGGGGTTTTTTACAGCCATTATTTTCTTGTCCCCAGGAAAGACGGAGGCCTCAGACCGATCTTAGATCTCAGATTTTTTAACTAAGTGCTCGCGAAGAGACCGTTCAAAATGCTCACAGTCAAGAA